AACCCAATAACTTTAGTTCAAACCATGTATTTATTTTAAAAAATTCATTGAATATGTACAAATTATTAATTTAGAATCTCAAACCTACCAACTTAAAAAAAAGAATTAAAGTATTAGAATCTCGAAGCGTCCGAGTATACAGTGTCGTTGTTGTTGTAACTAATCACGTGAAAATAAGTAAGAATTTTTTTTATTTTCTAAGAAAATATCCCAAAATATTCGCTCCTCTCTATATTTTAGTCTTCCCACAGCATTACATTTGCAGCCAAAGGCTATGAATATTTTACGGGGTAGGAATTTAGTCCCTCCAGTTTTGCTTCAAAAAAATGATAATACAAATCCTTAAACCTCTCCTTTTTATTCACAATACCAAATTCTTGAATTTCTCTGTAAATGTGGGGGTAATCAGGCCTAGCCAAGGTCAACATCATCAATGGAAACAGGGCAGACAACCCCAAAAGGGGAATTACCTGGTGGAATTGGAGATGGAAATTGTTATGCAGAAATACCTCTTCATTCTCCTGGATTATGGGGTTTACCTGATTCTCATGATTTCCTTATTTTCAATTTGCCTAGGCTTCTTTTACAATTAGCCATCATTTTTCTGCTTACTCAATCTCTACATTTGGTCCTTAAACGGATCCGTCTGCCCCGCCTTATCTCTGAGATTTTGGTATTTTCCCATTTCCTTGTTAATTATTCTACCATTTTATTGATAATAATGTTGAATGTTGTTTTTATAACAGTGGTGTCTGAACCAGCTTGCGTTTACCTCAAAACAAGAGTGAAAGAACTCACGTCGAGATTTTTTGTAATAATGTTGCATGTTCCTCTCTACTCTATTGGGTAGGGGTAAGGTTTGCGTACACACTACCCTCCCCAGACCCTCACCTGTGGGATTTTACTGGATGTTGTTGTTGTTGTTGTTCTCATTTCATATTAAAAAAGGAAAAAAAAACTAAAGATGGTGTTAAATGTTATTTTTAAAGCGATGATATTCGAACCAACTTGCACGCAAACACCTTACTATTCCACTGGTTATCTTGTAATCTCCCACCAGTTGAGGTAAAGTTAGAAGCTGAGCTAGGTGAAGGAAGGGCGTTCCATTGGATTTCCTTCGCTGAACAATTATATTGCATAAATAGGATAAACAATGATTTTTTGACTATATATAAGCTGTGGAATTCCCTTGACATAAACGAATATTCTAGTGTAATAGTAAAGGGGTCACAAGATTAAGTCCCGAATATGACATTCTAGATTTTTTTTAAAATCCTCTTGTATAAATTCCTGACTACGCCATTAGAATTAGTGGGTAACGTTGCTTACCAAAATTTAGATAGACGGAAAGTTTTTTGTGATAATGTTACATGTTCTTCTCATTCAATGTTTTCATTCATATATATAAAAGGAAAAAAATAATCTAAGCACTTGAATAGAAAGTTTGAGTACATAATTCATTTATGTTTGGTTTTAACTCCAGTTTTGATGGTATTGTTATTCACTTACAGGCAGGTATCATACTTGGTCCAACAATGCTTGGAAAAATCCCAGACTTTACAGAGACATTATTCCCACAACCAGGAGAAATTTTCATAGATTTAATGTCAAAAATTGGTTATATATTTTTTATCTTCTTAAGTGGGGTGAAGATGGACCCAAAAATGGTGCTGAGAAGTGGCTCAAGGGCATGGACAGTAGGATTGCTTGCTGTTATTCTACCAGTGGCGTCTTTCGCGAGCTTGTATTTTGGATATTTTTCACTAGATGAAAACATGCATAGATACCGAAAACCAGCCACTCAAAGTATTTTCTTGATACAGAGTTTGATTGCATTTCCTGTGGTTGCTTCTCTCCTTGTTGACCTGAAAATCATGAATTCTGAGCTTGGTCGTCTTGCTCTTGCATCAACTTTGATCAGTGACCTATTTAGTAATCTGGGATTGACTATCTTCTCTACTCTTAGAATTGGAGTGTCGGCGGAGATCCCTATGGTTATCTTTGTCCAGTCTTTTGTTCTACTTGTTGGCATAATCTTGCTTATTGTGTTTACTGTCCGACCGCTTTCACTTTGGATCATCAAAAGGACACCAGAAGGCAGGCCGGTAAATTCCGTTTACATTGTTTGTGCATCTGTCACAGTCATGTTAGCCGTGATTCTTACGGATAACGCAGGGCTTAATTACCAATATGGTCCTTTTATTCTCGGTCTTGTTATACCGGATGGTCCACCTCTCGGATCAACATTAGTCGAGAAGTTAGAGACCGTAGTATCTGGTATGCTTGCACCCCTTCTAGTAACGTATTGTGGTATGAAAGTAAATCTGGTCGATTTGTATGATCTCACGTTCCTGTATTGGGTATGGGTTATGGTGTTCTTTTGTCTTACGGTAAAGTACGCATCAGTTTTCCTTCCGGCATTGGCGTGCAAGGTGCCCCCAAAAGATGCTGCTGCTCTTGCCTTTATCATGAGCACACAAGGTGTTATCCAGATGTCTTTTTACTTTAACAACATTATTAATCAGGTATTTACTTATCCTTTCAATATCTTAATATTGCTGTTTCATAAATGTTGATGGGGAGCCTTGGCGTAACTGGTAAAGTTGCTGCCATGTGACCTTGCAGAAATGCACGGTACGGCTACATACAACCTCAATTGTTGCCCTTGCATAATTGAGGTTGTGTTGCTGAGCCTGCAGTACAGCCAAATTGATTTTGAACAGTAATATTATTACTAATTAGCTTGAATAGAATTTCATTATGTGAGCAGTTTTGTACAATTTTAGCTATCTTAATCCATGAAATACTGTTCTGTGTCAACCTAGGATAATGTTTCTTGAACAGACATTCCAGTTTAATATCTAGGTGCTATTTGCATAAAGTCAATCACAAGGGCGGAGCCACAACCCTGTGTACGGGTTGGCAGAACCCTGTAGTTTGAATGCAGTAGTTTGGAGCTTCTTAAGTTCATTCATGAGCAACGGCTTGCTTATGGCTGATTACCTTCGAATTTACGCAATGTCCCTTTTCTTTTGTGGGAGGTGTTAATTCTGTATTATTTTTGTCAGACATTGTGTATTTATTTATTGTCAACTGGTGAAATGTTGGAATATGATGGGAATGTGCTAATAACATTTGTCAACCAGAGTTTTAATTCTGTTTTCTCTTCCCCTTGTATTGAAGCACAGACATTTGATGGAGAAACCTTTTCCATGCTAACTGCATCGGTATTACTTATAGCTGCACTCTCGCATTTCTGTGTTGGGTCGCTGTATGATCATACACGGATATATGCCGGCTATCAGAAAAGAGACATCCAACATGCTTCAAGCAATTCTGAGTTGCGCTTGCTTTTATGTACTCATCGATTTGATGATGCCGTAGCTGTCCATAAGGTCTTAGACGCTTCTTTTCCATGTAAAGAAAGTCCTTTATCTGTTTATGCACTACACTTGGTTGAACTTGCTGGTCGGGCATCCCCGGTTCTAATTGATCACCAACTCGGCCAAAAGAATGTTTCTGGCATTTCTCGGTCACAAAAGATTGTGGAAGTTTTTCTATCATTTGAACAGCAGTACCTTGGCTCTGCTAGTACTCATTTCTTTACCTCAATGTCACTGCCAAGGTTCATGCATCAGGACATTTGCTCGCTTGCATTCGACAAGTTAGCGTCGATGATCATACTCCCGTTTCACAGGAAATGGAATCACCAGGGAAAGATTATCTTGGACAGCAGCAATATAAGGACAATCAACAATAATGTATTGGACATGGCTCCTTGTTCTGTAGGTATACTAATTGACCGTCAGAAAATCAAGCGTCTAACGAGTCAATCAAGTCAGTCAACAATGTATCATGTAGCTGTGGTTTTCATTGGAGGCAACGATGATCGTGAGGCGTTAGCTTATGCTAGACGGATGTCAAAATCGCCAGAAATTCACTTGACTGTCGTTAGATTCGTGTCATGGGACATCGACATACGTGAAAACCAGTGGGATGCTGTACTTGATGCTGAGTTATTAAAGGAGGTAAGACTGCTAGGTCAACACCAAGATAATATTGTGTATAGAGAGGAAAGAGTTAAAGATGGAGCTGAAACAGCATTGATCATACATGCTATGGAAGAAGCCTTTGATCTTATAATGGTCGGAAGGCGCCATCGCGACGATCTGCAACAATTATTAGGACTTAATGAATGGAATGATTTACCAGAATTTGGACCAGTTGGTGATATGCTTGCTGCTGCAGAGATAAATAGACCAGTTTCAGTATTGGTGGTGCAGCAACAAATTGTTAAGAACAAATGAGAAAGTGAACCCCTTATAGAGAAACAAATTGACCATAAAATATATGTAAATGGTTCCCCCTAGATCAAGCAAATTATGCCTTGATGTAGATTTCTTTGTGCAATTATAGTAATACCATGTCTATATGTGAATTAACATTTAAATTTTCATGGCATATAACAGCACACATCTCTCAATCAGCTGCTCTACTTTCATAATTCCTTCGTAGCTAATTTGTCGCTAAATTGTTATTATAATAAAGCAAAACAACAACAACAACAACAACAACAAATCTAATTTAATCCCATAAGTGAGGTATGAGGAGGGTAGTGTGTATGCAGAACTTACCCCTATCCTATAATGGTAAAAAGGTTGTTCCCAATAGACGTTATAATAAAGTAAAACATATATATACTATTAAAAAAAACTGGAATTAGCTACTATCTTTGTAGCTAATATGTCGCTAAATCGTTGTAGATAACAAAATTCTGTGATAATCTGTCACCAATCTGTTGCTAAATAGGATTAACGACGGATTTTTCTGTTTAGAACTTGTCCGTCACTAATTCCTGTATTTTTAGTAGTGTGAGAATTTCGAACTTGATATCTAAAGAATTATCTTTAATATATATAATATTGGTTTGCAAAAGAAATCCAACATTTGACTTTGTAATCTCAAATTCCTCTCCAATCAGCCAGATTAATATTAAAAGACTATAGTTTATTAGGAAAATTGACATTTGATTTGTAAATTGTTCTTGATTGCCAACCTACAGGAATGATATTATTAGCTTTAATTTGATGCTTATACTCTGAAGTTAACCTAAGTGAAAATGGAGGTTTTTGTGTGTTTGGATTAATATGAACACACCAAGTTGCACCAAACATTTGTTGCATTGGAATCCATTTATTTGAATTTGTTGTTTTTATTTCAACTAAAGAAAGTGCACCATCTCCATTTTCAGCTTCAATTGCAACTGCAAAGAAAAAACGATTTGATCCTTTGTCAACCTTAAACATAATATTTGTCTTGTATTTGCACGCCACCCTGAATAAAATTCCCAAGTAAAAGTTAATAAAAAGAATAATACATGGGTGTTAGTAATAAATACTGATGAAATATACAATCTTTTCGTTTTCGCGCAATTTAATTAATCGATTATTACTCTAGTTTTGATAGTTGTTTGTACTATTTTTTTTTATCATATTTGAATTTTGTTTTGAAGGATTGACAAATATTTACCTTGTTTTTATTTTTCCTAAAAGGTAAATCTTGCATATTTGACTAATTAACTTTTTTTATTTGGAGGAGAAAAGATTTGGTTTACTACAAATTGAAGATCATTTCTTCTTGTTTTACAATATCCAGAATGTAGCCCTTAAAAGTCTGGTTTAGAGGGAGAACATAAACTCTTTAAGAATGGATTTCCTGCTGTAAATGTTTTTGATGTTTTTGCACTTTCTTTTATATTAGTTCATATGTAGGTCAATTGGCCAATTACATTAAATTGTTTTGCCTCGTTTAATATATTTTCTTTTGTTATCTTATTTGTCATTGTCCAAGATTAGCTTCTGCATAACACACCTGGTAATTTCGATTCAGTGGCGAGCCAGAATTTTCGCTCGGGGAGGAAGGGTATAAAAAATATAAAGAAGTAATCCCACGAATATATATATATATATATATATATATATATTAATTTATTTAGTATGTTATGATTATTTACCTTTTATAGGAAATATTGATTCTTCCAAGGTTACGCAATTTTTCACCTTGCCTAGGTTTTGCCATTTCAGCTATGCATTTTCTATTTTCTTTTTGCAATTTCTTTTTCTCTCATTTTTCAAATATATATATTTTTTCAAATAGTACTAGTGGATACAAATTTATTAGACGTTGTGGGTTTTGAATTAATTCGAGAGTGAGTTTTGAAATATTGTATATCTTACTCTATGCATACTTATTTTTTGTGTGCATGTCCGTGTATATATGTATATATGGTTCGACTTCAAAACACTTTTCTATCGAATCAAATTAAGTAAATTAAAGTTATGAGTAACGCTCGCACCTGATAGCATGCACCATATCCAAAGCCATATCGAAAAAGAACTTGATTTCCCGCGGTTATCATTGCATTGTATGGAGATTTTGCTACACCATCTTCTAGTCCGCAAGCTCCCCCTAAACACCAAAAACGAAACAAATATTGTGTAGTAAAGCACTGATGAAAAAAAAAACACTGAGGTAAATAGCTCCAAACGTATAATTTATAAAAAAAAAATTAACTTATATACATCATTAGTGTAAAGATTTTTTACAGTATAGTATTTTAACCTATTGCATCCGATTATTTACTTTTCTTTCTAGGTTATATTAATCACATGTTATTATAGGTAATTTTAACTTGATATTTGTAACTGAGTACTTTTACATTGTCCTTGCATATAAATTAAAATCAAATATATAAGGAAAAAATCAATCTTGCAATATTACCAGTACTGCCAGCTCCAGTAGCATTTCCATACCAAGTTGCTACAGCTGATGAAAAACCACTACCACCTAAACTACTATTGAATAATTGGCTAGAACAAACAACAACAAAATCCGAGTAAAAAACAATAAAAATGCAAACAAAAATAAATTGAGGAAAATTAGAAGCCATGACCACTAACTTAATTGAGTGGTTTGCTCTTTTAATTTACTAGCAAATTGCTTACGCAATGGCATAAAAATAGTTCTATTTATATTACTAGCCAGCCAAGGATATTAATTAAAATGTTGAGGTTTTCCATAGATAATGGCATAATTAATATTCTTAACAACTTCAATTTTGGCATCTTGTTATAGCATTAATTCATCCAGTAGATATTCGGAATCCAGTAACAAAAAAACACTTAAATGATCTAGTGAATCTGTTAGTAAGTTAAATGTCACAAGCTTCTGCATGACACCTGATTATTTGGATCCCAACAAATGGTATCAGAGTGAGGTGCAAAATAGGTTCATTTAGACGGGTTTAGTTCTATATATGCAAATTTTGATCGGAGTGCTTCTCACGTTGAGACAAACTTTGTGGTAGAGATTTAGAGATGCGACTTGTTGAAGGTTACGTGAAGAAAGCGGATCAAGTTTATTTTGTCAGAAGTGTTTGTCCTAATTTTCTTACCATATTTCGTTTTCCTATTTCTTGAAGTAAGAATAACATATTTACCATAATTGATTTTTCCTTTTACAAAAAGGAAAATATAATCCTTACATATTTGGCTGGTCCTTTTTCTTGGAGGAAAATGTTTTGAATTCTATAAATTAAGGATCATTTCTTCTTATTTAGTAACATCCATAATGTAGTTATAAAAGGTTTGATAGTCTAGTTTAGGAGAGAATTTTGGGGACAAGTGTTAGCTCGCCTCTTGTGTGTGCCTCTTTGTGAGGTTATTCTCTCGATATTTTGTACTCTCTTTTTATTTAGTGTATTGATCATCTTCGCATGTGATCGTAGTCAATTGACCGAATTATAATAAATTTTTGTCTCTTTTAGTATATTTCTCTTTTATTATCTGATTTATCGTCGTTCAAGATATGCTTTGCTAGCTTCTCTTGATCATTTCGATCCTAATAATTTTCTTCACGGAAAATTTTCTAATAACAGGTAAAAGGTTATTTTAAAAAACAAAAAAGTAGCAATTTTATTTATCATAATCTATGTTAAGCACTGCATGTACAGCTTATCAATAGTAGTAGAATACTGAATATGATAATTTTATTTAGCATAATCCGTGTTAAATACTTAATTTAGAGCTTATCAATTTGTACCGAAATAGAAGTTTGATATAATAAACGACCAATTACAACATCATATTTGACACTTAAGGAAGGTACAACCATCGAAACAGTTTTATGATTAAGGGAAATCTCAACCAAAGTAGCAGTGCTTTTTTCACAAGAATTTTATGTTAAACGTACTGCATTTGTTCAATAGGACAGACGTGAATGCTAAGATTAAAATGGAGACAAAGATGGAGATTATTTTACAGTTGTTTCAGGGATATGGCTGGAGTGTACTCCTTATCAGCAAATAGGTGCAAAAGTTGTTGCTCTTATATTTTAATACCCTCTCCGTCCTATTTTATCTGACACTCTTTATTTTTTAATCAATCCCAAAAAGAATAGTACATTCCTATATTTAATAATAATTTAATTTAAATTTTTTTATTTTACCTTTAATGAGGTGATTTTTAGCCATATAGCATGGATTAGACCATAAGTTTCAAACTTGGGAGGGAGGAAGTATCTTTATGAATTTATTAGTAACTTTTCTCTCACCAATTATTTGTTGAAGAATCATTTGGTTATTGTGATTAGGATACTAATTCCAGTATAAAATTTAAAATTGTATTTATCTCATGTTTAATTATCAATATAAGTTAAAGTCGTTATAAATTTCATACCAAAATTTGATCAATTTCATACCAAAAATATAATATCTAAATTATAATTTAGAATATCCTTGGTCCAAACCAAACGATCCCTCCTAAGGGTTGGTTCACATGAAAATCGTCATATAAGTACATACGAAGATATCAGGCGATGGGGGTGGCTCGAGGGTTAGGCTATATCATAAAGTGATTGCTTTAGGCCCCAAAATTTTGGAGCTCCAAAAAATCTTACAAATAAATTTTCTGATTCTATTTTGGTTTAGACAATATTAAAACTCGTATTAAGAAGTACAAAATCTTTATTAAGTAAGAAAGTCTATCTACTTTCTAGCAGTAGAAATATTTTAGAACTTTGAATTAAACTACTCAAATTTTTATATTAGTAAATAATATTCTTTACAATAAGAACCAAGGTAACGTATTGCAACACATGGCTAATATCTTATTAACTTGATTAATCCCTCCCCAATATAAATTTAATATTACTAGCAGTTGTTTGAGATTCTCTACAATGCTCTATCGTAGGGTTTGGAAGTGTATGGATGTTATTGCTGGAAGTATCACCTTCAAAACGAGTGCTAGATGATCATGAGTCTAACTATTACGAAGATCCATATCTGCCTCAAACTAGCAAAATAGATTTGTCGGGGCTCCAGTAGGTGGGTTTTAGTTCCATGAAAAAAGGTGGTCATTCTTATATATAATCGAATCAATTGGGCAAAGAAGAAAGAGTTAAAACTACATATGGTATATATACCATACCTTGTAGGCGTTTGGAAATTCCTAACCCATTTTTTCATCAGGATGGACCAGATAGGAGACAGATCCAAATTCAAAAACGGTCTTTTTACTTATGAAATCCTAGTGCCCGTCATTAATATTGTTCAATGTCACTAGAGTACATGTAAAAATCAAATAAATGTGAAGTCAAAAATAAAAATGCATACTTGTCGATCTGGTTTTCTACAGCAGTCAAGTTATATTTTATCCTATTATACTGCTTGTTAGTGTTATACCATGACAAATAACTAAATCAAGTACTACCAGATATGCCACCGATGCCGTGAGCATCGTCGTACACAAATGTCTGGAAAAGAATGGTCCTTACGCCCCCTTGATTCTTTACCCATACCTTAACCATCCCACCAAATTCGGACTCAACAATTTTTTCAGTGAACATCTTCATTCTATCCAGTCAAAAATATTTTAACATTTAAATGTAAGAAGAGAAAACATAAACAATAAACTTAAACTGTAAAGCTGCAGAAAAAAAATTGTTACTGGCTCCTTTAATATTCCAAAAGGTATAACAACATCGCATCTCTATAACACCCCTCCGCATTATGGGCTTCAATACATATTTCTAAATATATGGCTACTAACTCCTACCTCTTTCCCACAGTTCTCATATTTGGGAAAAAGTATCAGCCAAGGTTGGGATACTTGTGGACGGGCATAATTTGAAAAATTTATACAGGAAATCACATAAGCTTTTGGAATGATGCTTGGCTTCTTTTTGATCTGAAATGCAAGGACCAACTCTAGGGAAACACTTTATCAAAAGGATTAGGTTTCATCCTACCAATCCAATTCTCAATGGTTACTGGATACCATACTTTTCGAGCCTCCCTAATCCTTACAAACTTAAATAAAAATTTACTATCTACCCCAATACTCCAAAGTTTGTGACAAAATTATATGAGGTCTTACAAATATGGGAGGTTTTTACTCTTCAAATCATGCTACTAAACACTCTCAATGTGCACAACATGAACTGCCTTTAGGTAGTTAACGGAAATGTTATTCAAATGCAAGGATCAATGATTATCCAAGGTTTGAATATAGCAGACTAGGAGCTAAAACAGAGGTAACTCGAAACTTAGCTATGGCGATGGAAGAAGAAGAAGAATCGAGGGAAGATAAGAGAGAAGAGAGAAGAAGAGAGACTGTATAATAAGACTGTAGTTGTTATTATGATATTCCAATATAACAATCACATATATATAATGAAACGAGCTGCAATGAAAGATTCCTTTTAATTGCTTCTCAACTAACTCTAACTAACTTTTGGCTCCCTAACTAACTTCCGAAACGAACCAACTAACTGTCACTCTTCTTTATTAAATCTAGCTCACTTATACTATCAATACATTACTAATCACAATTTGTATAATAGTACATCCCCCCCCCCCCCC